AAAAAAAACTTTTAAAGTCTTTATGACATTTATCTATTCTTTTTAGAGCAATGTTTTCATTAAAAGAAATATTTTTTCAACCTCTTAAATGTCAACCTAATATAAATACTTTACATGTACATCGAAATCCGACAACAGGAAATCAACAAATATTTCTTATTGGTCTCGATGGTCTTGGTGTAGTTGTTGAATATGTTCAAACAACAAATGAATGTAAAGCATATACAATATCTTTACAAGATGCTCAATGTATATTATTTATATAAAATAATTTATTCAAATATTTTATTTATTTATTTTTCTATTAGCTGATTGTCGAGTATTATGTATGGAAATATTACCTATATCAAAATATAATAGTTCTCCAGCAATTATTTATGGTTATGCTAAAACTAATGGTATTTCAGTATGTGTTTTGTTTTGGTTTTTTTCTATTCATGTAATTTTTGTTTTTGTTTTAAATTAGAACAGTGATGATTGTACAAGTTATTATTTGGATCGTGTTCAAATTGTTGAAAATAATACAAGTAATAGAATTCATATGTTTGTTTTTTCCTATTTTGAAATATTTATAGAATCGTCTTTACAAAATCGTCCATTAACATTTGCTGCAAAATTTATGAAAACAATAATGTATGAAGAAAAATAATTTAATTTAAGTGAATATCTGATTTTTTTTTCTTTAGTACAAAAAATATCATGACTAATGAAAATGAAGTTATTCTTGTTGTAGCTGGAGCTGATAAATTATCATTTTTTAGTGAAGTAAGAAAATATTTAATTTAAATTTGTTTGTTTTTTAAATTGAAAATGAAAAGAATAACTTTAATTAATTTATATGAGATTTCTCTCAGTAATCATCTTTCGATGAAGTAAACTTGATTTTTTTTCTTAGTCATACCTTTTTTTAGTTGAAAGTTTATACAGGAAACATCTATTCTGTTTCTTTTGTTTTTTTTTTGAATAAGATTTCAAAACATATCTTAGTAATCAAATCGTTTACTTCATCGAAAATTGAAAGTTTTCATTTCTAACGAGGGAATGTTCTTAACTGTCTAGTCACTTTTCGCTTGAGACTATTCTCATTCGATTGGGCATGACGAGTAGTAAAAAAAGCCTGCTTTGGTTTGATTTTCCGGTCTTCGCTTGTTGAGTTACGAGCGTTTTACTTGATTTTTATCCAATGAGTATGGTCTATCTGAGAACTTGGATGATTGAAGTTTGAGCCAGAACGAACATATCCTTACAAAGATACTTACACTTAAAAAACCGCCTGTTTTGGGCTGTCTTTTTTCAAAAGAAGAGTGTTTCTATGACAAGCTGATGTCTCGATATGATTACATTTGTGCAAGCGAAGACCGAAAAACCAAACCAAAACAGACTTTTTTTACTACTCATCATAACCGATCGAATCGCAATAATGTCAAGTAAAAAGCAATTTGATAGTTGGAAATGTTTCTTCCTAAGCATATGTAATGACTAGAGATGTGTAGAACCAAGTTTTTTGGTTCCGGTCAGTGGGACTAAAGTTGATCCTGCATTATTTCAATAATGTAAGATTATCTAATTTGAATCATATTAAATGTCTTTTCTTTTGAAATCTAAACGTATATTTTTATCATCTAGAAAAATGAACGATTACTACAAGATATAACAAAAATAATTGATCTTTATCTTCCTGAATTAAAACAAACTACTGGCAGGTAATAGAATTTCTATGATATTATTTATAAAAAAACAAAATAAATTCAAACTGATTTTTTTTTGTGTATTTTCTTTAGTGTATGTACAATGGATCTATTATCAATATCTGATCCAAAAACAGATCAATTAAAACAACGATTTATTGCTTGTGGTCATGCAGATGGTTTACTTGATTTATATATAACAGATATACAAACAGATGGAAGTATACAAACAACACAGAAAACACTTGAATATGATAGTTTTATTAGTACTGTTAAATTCTTCTATCATAATCACAAGCCACTTGAAAGTAAATATCAATTGAAAGATTCTAATGAGAAATTAAAATTATTTCTTTTTTTTTT